CCGACCCTTTTTTATTTTATTTTTATTTTTTTTATTTAAAATTAATTGAAAATAATATAAAAAATATTAAATATTTCGAAAATAATAGAAAATTATATTATAAATAATTGAATATATTATAAATAAATAATATAAAATTATAAATAAAATTATTTAAAATATATAAATAATATTTATTTAAAATATATAAATATAGTAATTATTATAAATTGTATAAAATTATTAAAATTGTTTTTTTCGATAAAAATTTTAAAAAGTTCAAAAATATTAAAAAGTAATGAAAATAAGAAAATTAATTGAATATATTAAAATTAATTGAATATATCATAAATAAATAATTGAATATATTATAAATAAATAATAAAAAATTATAAATAAAATTATTTAAAATATATAAATAAAATTATATAAAATAATATAAAATTATTGAAAATATATAAATAAAATTTATTTAATATATAAATATAGTAATTATTATAAATTGTATAATATTATTAAAATTGTTTATTATTAATTATTAGTTTAATTTGTTGATTTAGAGTGATGGATCTGAGCGAGTTATGGAGTTTGGTCAGCTTGACGGTTCTGGACTCCAACACACGCAGAGTCGGTTTGTAGATGCCGACGCTCGTCGGGTGAGGGAGGCGAGGATCCGTGAGGCTCAGTTAGCTCAGACTGAGATGGCTAGGAGATTGCCACCGATCGTTCCTTCGGAACCAAGTGGTCAGCAGAGCGGTGGACAGCCCAGCTCATCGATGGCTGGCAGGATGCCGACGAGGATACGTATTCGTCAGTCGTCGGCTCCGATCGTCGAGAGTCCGGTCCACTATTATCAGCAGGACGATGACCAGGACGATGATGAAAGGGAGGAGCCTGACTCTGGAGATGAGCAGACCACGTCACTTCCTCCTCCCCCTGTACGACCGGTACGACCTGCTCCTCCACGACAGGCTGGGGGCCGTTTTGCTGGTACTGCATCCTCCTCTGGTAAATATTCTACGTACTTTAATTTTTTACTGTTAGTTACATATACTTTTATTTACTAATAGCATATCATTGATATAGTCAGTCACAATATGTCGTGTATATATCTAACACGTAGTTTTCTATTTTGTCAGTTACATATATTTTTATTTAGTAATATTATTTAGTTATGTAATTAATTTAATAATATTTAAACAAATTCAAAATAAATATTGTGTTGTCTTAGCAACAGATTTAGTTATGTAATTAATTTAATAATATTTAAACAAATTCAAAATAAATATTGTGTTGTCTTAGCAACAGAAAAGAATTTATTTCGTTGGTAAATATCAAAATATTTATTCATAACTTACAATACTTTAATGCACACATATAACATAACTTAAAATTTATTTTCATTTCATCTAACAAGGTGATTTTATTTTTAACTATCAAATCTACAATAGGATATGATTTTCCTAAAAATTTTACTATTCATAAAAATTTATATTTTTTCTTTTTAAGTTATTAGTATAATTAAAAATAAAATCACTCACTACTATATTTTGTTCTTAATTTATTAGTATAATTTTAAAATAAAATCAATGACTACTACATTTATATTTGAGCGTTAATAGAATAATTAGTTATTTATAGTTTATTAAAAAAAAGTCTTTTAATTAACTAAACAATCAGTCACAACAAGGCGTGTATATATCTATACTTATTTGTTGTATTGTAAATGCAGGTTCGAGTAGCAAACGGGCTAAGGGTGATGAGTCTTGG